GAAGCAATCTGGTCGGGATCTGCATGATATTCAAGCCTCAAAAAAAGGGCTTTATAGTTTATGCCTCCAGATGTCATCTGAATGTGGCTGTCTGGGGCTTCCTTTCCTGGGACAGATCTTAGCCAGGTGATGTCCAGGGTTTTCTGCTGCAGGAGAAAATGTGACAATAATAATAATAAAGTTGGAAGGGACCTTGGAGGTCATCTAGTCCAACCTCCTGCTCAGGCAGGAAACCCTACACCATTTCGGACAAATGGCTGTCCAGTCTCTTCTTAAAAACTTCCAGTGTTGGAGCATTCACCGCTTCTGGAGGCAGGTGGTTCCACTGGTTAATTGTTCTCACTGTTAGGAAATTTCTCTTTCGTTCTAGGTTGCTTCACTCCTTGATGAGTTTCCATCCGTTGCTTCTTGACCTGCCTTCAGGCGCTTTGGAGAATAGCTTGACTCCCTCTTTTTTGGGGCAGCCCCTGAGATATTGGAAGATGGCTATCATGTCCCCCCTCATCCTTCTCTTCGTTAAACTAGACATACCCAATTCCAGCAACAGTTCTTTATATGTTTCAGCCTCCAGTCTCCTAATCATTTTTGTTGCTCTTCTCTGTACTCTTTCTAGAGTCTCAGCACCTTTTTTATTTTGATTTATGATTTTATTTTGATTTATGTGGCTGTTTCTGATCTTATCAAACAATTTCTATCATGCAGAAAATAGTAGGTGTTTTTCTGCCCACACTCTCCCTGGCGAGAAATTGCCAGCTGGCCTCTGGGTCAGCCTTGGAAATAGATCCTGAACGATCATTTTTCACGCCTTAAATGGTTTATCGGGATTCAGCCCCAGAAAATTACAAGATTTGTTTCTTTGTTTAAAGGGGGGAAATGGACTGAGAGCAAACTTTGATAGAATGTGGTTCATCCAGTCAGATTAAAGATTGAGGGTGTATTTGCATGTGTGTGAGAATATCCAGGCGTTTCTTTAAACACCTCTTTAAAAAGAGCATTAAATGTCCTTTGGTGTCTCAGGCAGAAATGTGAAAGATTGTAACTGAAAAGGGGGAAAAAAGGAGAAAGAGGGGAAAAAATGGTTTATATAGCTGCCCATCTTGCCTATGTGACTCCTGGATGGCTCCCAAGAGAAAAACAAAACCCATATAAATTAGAATTAAAACAGTCAAATAATTAAAAGTTCAATTAACAAGAAAGATAAAAGGCAGGAGAGATTAAAAACCAAATTATGGTTAAAACAATGTTTCTCCATCTCAGCAACCGGAAGACGGCTGGACTTCAACTCCCAGAATCCCCCAAATAGCAATGCTGGCTGGGGAATTCTGGGTATTGAAGTCTAGCCACCTTTAACGTTGCCAAGCTTGCAAAATACTGAGAGGCAGCTGTTAATCTTCGTCTCTTTCTTCAGAATTCGCACCCAGATCCTCAGCATCTTCTTCATCACTGTCCTCAGTGGCTATTCTGGCCTTCCTTTATCTTCAACGTCTGAAAATTCCTACTGGCCGGGAATCATGGAAATGGTAGTCTGGCAAGGCCGGGCAGGGGAGGATGGGCCTGGGAGTCCCCAAGCCGGAGGGCGCCGGTTGGGGAAAGAGAGGCGTTGCTAAGGCCCGCCCCCTTTCTCCGCGTCCGACAGGGCGGTCGCTAGGGGCGGGGCGGGCTGCTCTGCGGTTGCCGGGGCAACGGCCCTCTCCCTCTCCCATTCTTTCTTTTCTCCCCCTGCAAACAGCTGCTCCCGGGCCGTACCATACTGGCGGCGGGCGGGGGTGTCCGTCGTGCGAGGGAGGAGGGAGACTTGGAGGTCCGCCCTGAGGGGGGCGGCGTTGTTGGCTCCTCCCTCCCGCGTCCCTCCCTCCAGCTGCTGGCCCGTTGGTACGGCCCGCCCCTCCCGTCAGAGCGCTCGGCAGGCCCGGCGGACGGACAATGGCGCTGCTCCCCTCGCGGAGCCCGCTGGGGCTGCTGCCGCCCCCGGCCGGCAGGGGGCGCTCCAAGGCGCGAGGGGGCGCCCGGCCCGCCGCCAGGTGAGCCAACCCGGGTCGGCCGCCGCCTTCGCACGACGCGCCTGACCCGTGTCAGGCGCTTCCGGGGCGGCCCCTCCTCGTTCATGCCGGGTTGAAACAATCCCTCGCTGGGGAGCCGCCCCAAGGCGGCCGCGGGTGGGGCAGGGGGCGGGGCCTGGGGGCGGGGCAAGCGAGGGGGCCACGTGTGCAGGGGGGGTCTATATTGGGGGGGATGGGGGGGCACAGTTTTGTGTTCAAATCCTGCAGGATGGCTAAAGCAGATTGGGCCTGGTTGGGATTGGATGGGAGACCACCAGGAGATCCAGGTCGGTGGGGCTGGATAGTCACCCCAAAGCAGGCAGGGGCAAGCTGCCCCTCTGCCTGGCCACCCTGCAGGGAGGCGTCCCCGGGGTTGCCCAGTTGGCCCCAAGCAGGAGAACCGTGAGCAGACCTGGGCAAACTGGGGGTTAGAGGTGGATAGGGCACCACCAGGAAATCCCACGTCTGCAGGCAGGATGACTGCGGTTCTCGAAACCTCTCCCAAGAAGAAAAATCTAAATCCACACCTGGACAACTAGTCAACCAGCCTGCGCGGCTTAGCACCTGGAGTTATATTCAGCCGGACCATTTGACAGTTGGAAGTTTAAAGTGTGGCTGTGTTCCCACAACCACAAATCAGACGGAGCGGGTGCATTTATCAAACCTGGGCTGGTGGGGGGTGTGTGTGTAGAGAGGAGATTTGCAGCTCACCTTGTCAGCGTCATTGTGTGGGTGTAAATTGCAAAACCAGGAAGCAAGGCTAGATCAGCATTTGGGATAGGCGTGTTGTGTGGATGCGTCTTTTAAATATATCCGTGACTTGGGAGCGTCGCTGTAGATGTCTCGAAGCCAGTTGCTTGCCTTGTCCGACAGGGTGATGGTGACGAGAACGTAAGGACGTTTGGGGGGAGGAGGTGGCAAATAAAATACAGGTAGTCCTCAACTTACAACAGTTCATTTAGTGATCGTTCACAGTTCTCACGGCAGTGAAAATAGTGACTTAGGACCGTTTTCCACGCGACCGTTGCCGCCTCCCCAGGGTCACATGTTCAAAATTCAGACGCTTGGCAATTGACTCATATTTACGGCGGTCGTGGCGTCCCTGCGTCGTGTGATCCCCTTTTGCGACCTTCTGACGAGCAAAGTCAATGGGGAAGCCGAATTCACTTAACAACCGTGTGACTCACTTAACAACTTGCAAGGATTCATTTAACAACTCTGTCAAGAAAGCTCGTAAAACGGAGCCAAGTCCACAGATGTCTTGCTTAGCAGCAGAAATGTTGGGCTCCGTTGTGGTCGTAAGCTGAGGACAACCCATACAGATGATTGATCTGGCCTGCTTGTGAGAATCCGGCCTTTTTTCCCCCTGCATCCTTTTGTAGCAACAAAATCCTGCCAAAAAAAAATTGGCAAAAGAGCTCCTTCTCTTGAGCCCTTTGTAAAGAAAGGTTCTTTCCATGCTGACTGGGGAATTCTGGGAATTGATATCCATAAATCTTAAAAAGATGCCAGAGTTGAGAGACGGGAACAATTTCAGGAATCTAAACAAATAAGTTTGCGCTGATTTGGAGGAGGGCAGAATCTGGGAACGTCGCTCTGCCGAAGGGAGAAAATAAATATCCCAAGGCAGTTTTCCCTGCAGTCTCTCCGTGGGCCGGAATTTGGCACCCCGGCTATAAAAAGCCTTGGCCGTGGGTCAGAGCAGCAGTAACGGTTTCAACGGCTCGCAGCAAACACAGAAAGTCCTGGACTTAACGCCGCCACAATTCAGCCTGACGTTTCTGTGGTTATTTTTTAAAGACAGTTTTTGCCGCGTTTTACGGCGGTTCTTGCCACAGTTGTTAAGTGAATCGTGCGGTTCTTCAGTGAATAACACCGTCGTTAAGTGAATCCGGCTTCCCCCCGTTGAATTTGATTGGTCAGAAGGTCACACGAAGGGATCCCGTGGACCCTGGGGACGCTGCGAACTGTCATCCAAGGCTCTGAATTTTGATCCCGTGACCGCGGGGATGCTGCGACGGTCATACAGATGTTTTGCAACTGGGGTTCAGTCCACGGGTCTTGGCAGCTGAAGCCGTTTTGCCTTTGCCAGATTCCCAATCCGTATCTTCTCAGTTGCTAAGAGACTGTTTTTTCTTTTTCTTTTTTGCACTGATGAGGGGGGGAAAAGAGGATTTTATTTTTATTTTTTTAGCATTGGAAGAATACAGGTAGTCCTCGACTTACTGGCACAATTGAGCCCAAAGTTTATGTCGCTAAGTGAGACATTTGCAGCTCTTTTACTCTGCCTGTCTTTCTTTCTTTCTTTCTTTCTTTCTTTCTTTCTTTCTTTCTTTCTTTTTTTTCTCTCTTTCTATTTTTTCTCTTTCTTTTTCTTTTCTTTTCTCTTTTCTCTTTCTCTCTCTTTCTCTCTTTTTCTTTCTTTTTCTCTTTTTCTCTTTTTCTTTCTTTTCTCTTTCTTATTTCATTCTTTCTCATTTTCTTTTTCTTTCTCTCTCTCTCTTTCTTTTTTTCTTTCAATTTTTGCTCCATTTTACAAATTTTCTTGCCACATTTGTTAAGGGAATTGCTATAATTATGAAGATGATATACATGGCCGTTAAGTGAATCTGGCTTCCCCCATTGAGTTTGAATAGAATAGAACAGCTGGAAGGGGTCTTGGAGGTCATCTAGTCCAACCCCCTGCTCAGGCTGGAAACCCTATATACCATTTCAGACAAATGATTGGATAGCATTTTGCAAACTCTGCAGAAGGCAAAATAATAATAATAATAATAATAATAATAATAATAATAATAATAATAATAATAATAATAATAATAATAATAATAATAATAATAATAACTTCTCTGCTTTGCCAATTCAGCCTAAAACGCTTCCTTCTGCAATTGGCGGGGCTGGAAATTCGGCCTCCTTTCCCAGCACGGCCTCTTAATTCTCCTTCCCTGTTTCTCTTCCCAGCTGCAGCCGACTTCGACAAATTCAAAACATTCTGACGGAGAGCAACAAGTCCCAGCCAGATGGCATCCTCTGCATTTTGGGTAAATTCTTTTTTCATCCTTGACCGGTGTGTGTGTTTGCGTGCGTGTGCGTGTGTGTGTTTGTGTGTGTGTGTGAGTGAAAGGGGCAAACGGGGACTCTGTGCCCTGCGTGAGAAGCATTTGATCCGTAGCGAGCTTCTTCGGAGGCAGAAAGTGGCTGCTTTTTGTGGATTTTTCCTCTCTTGCTAAGAAGAGGATGAATGAATAATTTAAAAAAAGGCCCTTATTCTCGTGTGCTGGGCATTTTATGGGGCGAATTCACCCTGACCCTCTCCCAGCTTTTTTTCCTGAACAAGCAGGCAGTGCAGGATAAAAAGGGCTCCGGAATTTGGTTAGATGCACAAGATCCGGCGGCTGTTCGTCTTCCTTGGTGGGATTTTTGCTAAGAAGAGGCGAAAGCCAGCCATTTGGTCAAGCTAGAATCTGGGAGATTCTGAGTTCTAGTCCCACCTGGGTGACTTTGGGCCAATCCCCAGGAGGCGGAGAGTTCTAGTCCTGCCTTAGACATGAAAGCCAGCACAGTGACTTTGAGCCAATCACCAGGAGATTGGGAGTTCTAGTCCCACCTTAGACATGAAAGCCAGCTGGGTGACTTTGGGCCAATCAGCAGGAGACTGTGAGTTCTAGTCCTGCCTTAGGTATGAAAGCCAGCTGGGTGACTTTGGGCCAATCCCCAGGAGACTGGGAGTTCTAGTCCCGCCTTAGACACGAAAGCCAATTGGGTGACTTTGGGCCAATCACCAGGAGATGGTGAGTTCTAGTCCCGCCTTAGACATGAAAGCCAATTGGGTGACTTTGGGCCAATCACCAGGAGATGGTGAGTTCTAGTCCCGCCTTAGACATGAAAGCCAATTGGGTGACTTTGGGCCAATCACCAGGAGACGGTGAGTTCTAGTCCTGCCTTAGGCACGAAAGCCAGCTGCCAGAATTTGAACCAGTCCCTCTCTCTCAGCCCAACCCACCTCACAGAGTTGTCATTGTGGGGAAAATAAGAGTAAGAAGGAGTATTGTGTGTGTTTGCCACCTTAAATTATTTAAGATAAAGAAAATTAAAAGTGGGATATAAAGGGAGGGAGGGAGAAAGGAAAGGAAAGGAAGGGAAGCTATAAGAGGAAGGGAAGGAAAGGAGAAAGGAAAAGGAAAAGGCAGAAAGAGAAAGGAAAGGAAGAAACACTAAAAGCTGCTGCTTGATTTTTCATCAGCGATTTAAGTTCTTCCACCTCTCCGACTATTGCAAAAAGAATCCAGCTCTCTCACCCGTGTCCCAGTACTGCCCTTTGGGTGGCAACCTTGATTTCGACCTTCAGCCCTCCCCCACAGCTGCTTGCACCTTCCCGCGATTTCCCCACAGCCGTGCCGGATGCTCAGCCTCTGTGTCCCTACAGATGTTTTGCAACTGGGGTTCAGTCCTTGAGTCTTGGCAGCTGAAGCCATTTTGCCTTTGCCAGATTCCCAATCCGTATCCTCTCAGTTGCTAAGGGACTGTTTTTTGCTTTCTTTTTCTTTTTGGCACTGGTGGGGGAAAAAAAGAGGATTTTTGTTGTTGTTGTTTAGCATTGGAAGAATACAGGTAGTCCTCGAGTTACCGGGACAATTGAGCCCAAAGGTTATGTCACTAAGTGAGACATTTACAGCTCTTTTACTCTGCCTGTCTTTTTTCTTTCTTTCTTTCTTTCTTTCTTTCTTTCTTTCTTTCTTTCTTTCTTTCTTTCTTTCTTTTTCTTTCTTTTTTCAATTTTTTCTCTTTGTTTTTTCTTTCTTTTCTTTTCTTTCTTTTTTTCTTTTTCTCTTCATTCTTTCTCTCTGTCATTTTCTTTTTCTTTCTATTTTTTCTTTTTCATTTTTTCTCTTTTTCTTTTCTCTTTTCTCTTTTCTTTCTCTCTTTGTCTTTGTCTTTTTCTCTTTTCTCTGTCTTTTTCTTTCTCTTTCTTTTTCTTTCTTCATTCTTTTTCTCTTTTATTGTCTTTCTATTTTTCTCTTTCTATTTTTTTCTTTTCTTTCTCTTTTTTCTCTTGTTCTTTTCTCTTGTTCTTTTCTCTTTCTTCATTCATTCTCTCTTTTTTTCTTTATTATTATTATTATTATTATTATTATTTAAACTTATATGCCACCCTTCTCCCTATAGGACTCAGGGCGGCTCACAGCATATTAAAACACACAAACGCCATTCCCCATAAAACCAATTAAAAACCAAATATTTGTCGCTGTATAATTAATTAAGATTCGAATTAAAATTATCCCTATTTAAAATTCTCCCTAGGCCAGGCCCGCTTGTTGAAAAAGCCATGTCTTGAGGGCGCGGCGAAAAG